GAACAAAGTAATGTTTTTGGAGCATTTTGGAGAAAAATAAAGAAATCACCCGATATGGATATCGACCAATATATGAGGCCGACACGAAGTGATTAAAATTTATCGATGCACACTCTGTGACATCGATCGACACCAAAGGCACGAAAGCAAATTCGTGATCCAGCCGATTTGAAGCCCAAGACTTTACCAAATTACAAGATTACCCCTGACGAGTTTTAACCTAAGTATTTATACTTTGCAATGGTGTTTTAGGCAAAGAGATCTTTCTTGTATTCTTATTTTCATAGCAAAAAGTTTATAGGATTTTTAAAGTTTGAGAGAAGATCCAGAGAGATTTGTGATTAGAACTCCATTATTATCTTTATATCTATTATGCAGTTTATTTACCTTGTTTGTGTTATGAATTGCTTAGCCATTACTTGTTAGGTTTAGGGTTTAAATAGGTTAATGGGATTAACCCCAACTATGGGATTGCTTGTCGTGATATCTATTAATAAAATGTTCTTAATGCTTATGTTTTGGACTTGCTAACTAGAAACCTAATCTAAGGAATTTAGATTGTTTGAGCAACCTTTAACAACACTGAATATCATGAATCTATTCTATTAAGCTAGGATTTGCTAGAGTATAGTGAGAGCATGATCTAGGGATTTCAGTGGGCATTGTTAACTCGCGCTTAAAGCTTAACTATGAGCGCGTCGATTTTCCCATCGGTAATCAATCGATGTAGTGAAAAGTAAATAACTTTCGTAAAATAAAGCTTGACAATGTTTTACGAAACAACTTTCGTAAAATTAAAATTCTAGAAAATTTTACATAAAATCATTTTTAAAGTGTCCCTCGTAGGGATGCTAACTCCTACTCGGATGGCACACATGAGCTACACTTGCAAAAACAAGATCATATGAAACAGTAAACAGAAAAACAGAGGCAATAAGGGCTGGGACAAGACAAGTTTGCTCACAGCTCGACAAACTAAGAACCTACCTGAGTGACATCACGTCTATTGCTTATCTTTCCTAAACACCCACCTCGGCCTTCTCTGAGCCATCACCTACTTCTCCTCACTTTGTTTCAACGATTTCGTAAAGTTCATTCGGTACATAAAACCTTTTACATAATTCTGCCACGTTGAGTCGCAAAGATCTAATCATAAACGTCTGATAGAATTTTCAACTATATACACCTAGTCAGCATACTTAAACCAGCAGTACGAAGAAACAAGAACAGAAACTCGGATGTTGAAATCTCTTCCTGATCACTCTGATATTCTTGTTAGTTTTCATCGAAATTCAACTATATACACCTAGTCAGCATAGTCAAACCAGCAGTATGAAGAAACAAGAACAGAAAATCGGATGTTGAAATCTCTTCCTGATCACTCCGATATTCTCGTTAGTTTTCATCGAAAACCAATTCATACAAAAATAATTCAGAAGACATAAGGAGAAGAAGAGTAAATCCCAAATCATCGATCAGACTAAGGTATGTCTGATTTAGAAAATTTTCTGAGACTTTTAATTTTTCGTAGGAAAGGAATGAAAACGTCTTGGAAGCTGCCGCAAACCTTATCAAACTTAGTATCTAGGTGGATATTCTAGAAAGCTAAGCCTTAGGCCATATCTCGATCTATTGTTCTTTAACTGTTTAGGCAGAAATCACAAACCGATCCTATCTTTCGTATGCCAAGAAACGATCACCACGCATTCAAGCATACTCATCTCGCTTCCTAAAAAGAACAAGAGACATGAGCGTCGTCTTAAAACCGACTCGTTTCTAGCAATTTTCTTAAAACCGACATATTACAAGTCATCATCAACCAGCGTCGTCTTTAGAATCGACCAAGATTGTTGATCATCCCAATCCTCGAAAGAAAAACGTACATAACTCTTCGAAGGAACAGTTCATCCGTTTTCTTTCGTTAAAAAAGGAGGGAGTTGGTGCGTATACTAGACTCGTATACTCCCATACTTCAAAAACTTTAAGCCTTGAAAAAGCAAACTCTCGCAGCAACAGGCAGAAAAACACTTAGGCAATGCAATGCCTCATTAAAATCGTCCCAAAAGCAAATGAAAATCTGAGATTCGTCTAAACGGTAGCAACATATTCAAACCGTCGTGAACATAATCTTGAAGAAGACACAGGATCTTTTGTCACAGTCATGCGCTTAGAAAACATGTACCAATATCAGTCTGAAACTCAACGGTTACCCAAAGTCTTGAAGACCTTTTCTACTCAATAAAACGAGTGTCGTATAAGCATCAAAAAGTTATACGAGAAATCTTCAAGCATCAAAGGATTGCTCTCATTTTTCGTTGAGCCAAGTGAGTCATGGAAAAGCATCAAAAACATTTGCGACAAAGGAAAAATGAAAACACAAGTAGCAACGAGCACAATAAAAGGAAACGTATCATCCCCGCTCTTTGACTAAATCTATCGCTGGTTGGCTGCTTTGTTCGGCTCAAGAAACCTTCCAAAACGTTTTGCAACTAGATCCGGGTGAAATAACCTTCGGTAAATATTCGTGAGTGACTCCAAGAAACTAACACCGAAGAATAAAAAACAGAGCGGAAACGTTTCTCAAAAAATCTGCGGAACATCGTTACTTTGATATCTCCATACGTCGCGCCGATTTACTGAATTCATAAAACCAGTCGCNGCTCAAGAAACCTTCCAAAACGTTTTGCAACTAGATCCGGGTGAAATAACCTTCGGTAAATATTCGTGAGTGACTCCAAGAAACTAACACCGAAGAATAAAAAACAGAGCGGAAACGTTTCTCAAAAAATCTGCGGAACATCGTTACTTTGATATCTCCATACGTCGCGCCGATTTACTGAATTCATAAAACCAGTCGCCCGTTACTTACGCAAAATAATCCTTCGTATAATCAGATCAAGTCATACGAAACAACTCTCTAAAGTGAACGTAGCAAGTTTTAGGAAAAGGTATTTTTGTTGTAGAAAATCAAATCTGTATCATCCAACATTGGACGACTAGTCTAAGATTTATTTCCTCGCACCACGATTTTACATATATCATTCTTTAGCCATGCGGCTCACTGGAATCCACCTTTGATTCGCCTCGGTTACATCCGAGCAGAAAATCCTCCCGCAACAGTCTCCGCACGGGCTCTATATCAAGCCTCTTAGGCTTTGTATTCCTCGGATAAAAAGGAAAATATTTCCATACGAATAAAGGAAACATTACACGAAACATTCATCGTATAACTTAAACCTAAAGTGGAAAATCGTTTTCTACAACCATGGGCCATACTAATAGAGAAATTTCCGGCATACTTGGCCTATCAATCTCGACAAACGCTATCTGGCCCTCAGCCAATTATGCCTTCCATTCGAAACCGAACCGGATTACGGTATCCCCTTTAAGGACAATTCTAACATGATTACGGCATCCCCTTACGTTATAGCCGAATCCTTTACCAACTACATCCTCGGCTATGCGGCTCAACACATCTTTCGTTCCAGGCCAAAATGTTTGATCAACCACCGCGCCATCACATAACGGCTAAACGACAATCTTCGATTTGTCTAAAAACGCAATGTGACTATTAAGAAAACAATAATCGTATAATCCATAGTCATAACTCATATGATAAATTCTTCGTAGCAAAGCTCACTCCTACCAACAAAACGGTGAACATAAAATTTAAACTTGTAGACAATCGATCAAGTGTTGGGGTCAAAATCGGTCACGGCGAAATCAATGGCTAAAAGTCCCAGAAAAAGCATACAAGAAAAATGTATACTTTCTACGGAGATACGAAGTTACGGAAAACCCGTTTCAAAGAATGAAATAACTAAAAAGACCTTTTGTTGAGATCAAAAGCGGTAATCTCGAAATCAACGTCTACGACTAGTTCTCCTTATTGTTGGGGTCAAAATCGGTTACGAAAGCATTAACTGGTCTAATTTTATTAACTCGTCTAAACCTATTTATGTTTCTAAATAGAATAAATAAATTATCTACATTAAAATTGTAATAATATTGTTCATTAAAAATCCTATAAATTAAAATGTATAACATAAATACAATGAATTTACTTTATACAATAATTAAAACATATGAGAAATTAAATCAAATTTTAAAAATATTGTAATATTTTCTAAGTTTTTGTCAGATCAACCAGTGTCGGTTTCACGGGTTAATGACGGAATTCTGGGTTTTTTTAAATTCTTAATTAATAAATTATCTACATTAAAATTGTAATAGTATTAATCATTACAAAACCTATAAATTAAAATGTATAACATAAATGCAATGAATTTATTTTATACGATAAATCAAATATATGAGAAATTAATTCATTTTTAAAAAAATATTATAATATTTTATAAGTTTTTGACGTATCAACTAATGTCGGTTTCACAGATTCAATGGCGGAATTTTGGGTTTTATTGAATTTTAATTCATAAATTTTTATCAAATCTAAATTTTATGGAAACATATCAGCTGGCAGAACCTCTGATAGAATGGTACTTGAAGAACATATGCCAATCCGGGTCATATATGACCAACATGTTTAAAAATGTTCGATTATTTGTGAAATTCAGTTCAGTATTGATTTTTTCGTTTTTCAGTTTGGTACTGTTCGGTTCGGACTTTAAAAAAATATATCCAAACCTATAACTATCTTATATTGATATTTAATTCAAAATAATTTATATATTTTCGAAAACAAGCCCGAGTTTTCTAAGCGCGGCTCAAAATCTAGTATAATTTTTATATTGTTACAATACTAAATAAAAAGGAAATTTAATTATAATTTGTGATATGCTGGAATAAAACAACTGGATACCTTTTTGTTATACTACCTATTATATAAAAATATGGAAAAACTTAAATTTATATTATCAAATAAGATCAGAATCTTTTGAACGAAAAAAAAATCTTACTTGAAGATTTTGTAACAGACCCTAAGAAAATTGGAAGTATATTATACTTCCAATTTTCTTGCTCTAGTAATCTCGCAGAAGAAAATGGATTATCTGATGTTCTTAACATATCTTTTTTCTCTCTTCCACAATTCTCAAATAGGTCCTTCTCATTCTTCTCTTGATTCTAACAGTAAAATCTTCAATGTTTTTGATTATGGAGCAATAGGAGATGGATATTCCGACGATACTAAGGTTAGTCTTTTTTGGTAAATTATATCATATATATTAAAACTCTACAAGCTAGATTGAAATATAGATCTAGTTATCTTTGTAATAATGTTTTCAGGCATTCATGGATGCATGGGAAGACACATGCAATTACATTGGATCTAAATCAACCATGGAGATTCCTCAAGGAAGAACATTTCTTCTTCAGCCAATTGGGTTTCATGGTCCTTGTAAATCCAAGAAAATCTTTTTTTCGGTATGTAATACTTATATATACACTTTAAGCAACAAAAAAAAACTTATATATATATATATATATATATATGTGTGTGTGTGTGTGTGTGCGTGCTTAAGATCTATAAAACCTAGTTTACATCAACAACATACAAGTTAAATGTAAACATCTGACTGGTATACTAATTATAGGGATTATAGGCATGATTATAGGGATGTTTACTTTAATTGTGAGGAAAGTGTTTCAAAATGATGTCGTCGTTCGACTCTATTCAAAAAATTCCCGAGCTAAAACCCTAATTTATGACGAGGAATAATATTTTTTTTTCTAGTTATGCACGTGGGTTGATTAGTATTTACTTAGTTTTGCTAATATTTTTTTTTTTGAAATTGACGTTTTGCTAATATTTTTCCGATTAACAAAACAGATAACTAACTTCGTGATGTGTTCAAAAAAAAAACTTAGTGCATTTCTTATATTAAACCATATCGATTTATTTTAACTAAAATTATAAAATGATTTGATCATAACCATGGAGTTATAAGTTTGAAGAACATAGTATATATTTATACCACAGCGACATTTTTTCAATTGTAGATCAGAGGAAACTTAACTGCTCCTTATGCTCCGTATAAATGGAAATGTAATAATGAAGATGAATGTCATAAGTGGATCGAGTTTGCACATATTAATGGACTTTATATCGACGGTCCTGGTACCCTTGATGGTCAAGGGCCAAAATGGTGGTCGCTAAATTGCAAAAAGTATAAACAAGTAAGTTCTTTACATTTTATATCTTTTCCTTTGTTTTAGCTACTTTATCTTCATCTAAACTCATACAATTTTGTTTAAATTTATAGGCATGCCAGAGAAGACCACGGGTATGCAGTTATATTTCAGTAAAATCTGCAAACTTAATATACGTTGTTGCAAACTATTTTATATGAATTTTTTTCTTAGGGTGTGGTTATATCACATTCGAGTAATGTGCATATAAGTAACATTGTGGTTAAAGACAGTCCAAACTTTCAAATGTCTTTGGAAGATTCTAAATGGATTTCCGTTAAGCAACTCACCATAACCGCCGATGGTGATAGCCCTAATACTGATGGTATTCACATTCAACGTTCTCAGAATGTCTTCGTATACAATAGTAACATTCATACAGGTGATTCAATATTGGTCTTTGTAGACATCTTATTTATCTAATATATGATCTCTAACTTAACTCAGCTGCATGTGATATTTGCTATTTTCAGGGGATGATTGTATATCTATTGGTGATGGTTCAAAGTACGTTAATATATCAGGAATCTCGTGTGGTCCAGGTCATGGGATAAGGTATATATATATATATTTTTTTTTCTTTGTCAGTAAGTATATTTCTTCTAACCTTTATACCAATTATAAATTTGATTATTGTTAAATTAATCCAAAGACTAGAACTAATTATAGCAAATTTTATATTGCTCAAACAAGCATTGGAAGCTTGGGTCGAAACGGGACTAAAGAAACAGTGGAAAACGTTATCGTCCGAGATTGTATCTTCAGGAAAACAGATAATGGGGTTAGAATCAAGACATGGCAGGTAAAATTAAAGATTGAAACTATATTAGTTGCAATATTTATAAAAAGAAAATAATTATTTTTTTTTCGGTTTTATTATCCAATTATTTCAATTATTTAGGGAGGAAAAGGACATGTTCGAAATATTTTATTTGAACGTATAAAGCTACATGGTGTAACCCGACCTGTCATCATCGATCAGTTTTACTGTCCTCACTCGCAATGCAAAAATCATGTAAGTAAATTATTTTTTTCTCGTTATTTAATGAATTTTCTTATAGTTTAATGTCTTCTTTTGTGTTCCCTCTCTACTCTTAGGTATGAGACTACATTTGTTACAGTGTTTAAATAGTTTGATGAGATTATATTTACAAAGATAATGAAATGTTTGTGGTAATTAACAAGCAAAACATCAGAATAGTTTTTCATATAACAAACTGATGTTTTCATTCATATTTGACAGACCGAAGCTGTGGAGATCAAGAATATAATGTACAAGCACATACATGGAACAGCAGTGAAGAAACCGTTTGTGGAACTCCTGTGCAGCAAATCAGTTCCATGCGGAGATATACACATGAACGATATAAACATTGTTGACCACGACGAAGGAAAAGAAAAAAAATATCACAAAAGGTCGACACATCCTCCTGCTGAATGCATCAATGTTAGAGGAGAGTCTAGTGGTGCGATGATACCTAAACTAGCTTGTTTAGATTCTAAAAGACATTGATTTTTCTCGAACAGTACTTCTCTTAAGTTTTATTTTATGCTTTTGATGAACTAGTTAGGATAACCATCAGTATTCATGTTTTTTTTTCTTTTGATCTAGTTAAAAAATAATAAAGACTTGCGCTTTTGAGTCACCTTGGCTTGAGTACCCTTGATATGGCGACAATGTTCTACGAGAACAAAGGATCAAGAAGCTCTTGGTTCAAAGATCATTGCGAGAGACGCTGCAATGAGAAAGAATGTTCTTTGGGAACGTTATGGAGGAGGGATAACTCGGAAGAAGGAAGCCTCTTGATAAGGGAGGAAACGTATGAAGCGAGTATGTTTTGTTGATATACAACATGGAGGCGTTCCAACCAATACACAAAAAGTCTTTTAAAAGACAAAAGACTTGAAGAAGATGGTGTAGTAGTTTTATGCAATATACCAAATTTGCAAATTGTTGAAAACATAGATACAAGAGACTGACTAGCTAGTGACTATTAGAAGTAAAGAGGATATACTATTCTTATTATATAGAACAAGATATTACAAAACTTATAACGTTTCAGAAACGAATCGCAAATTTCATTACAGGAAGAGAAAAAAACTGTAGATNAGATGGTGTAGTAGTTTTATGCAATATACCAAATTTGCAAATTGTTGAAAACATAGATACAAGAGACTGACTAGCTAGTGACTATTAGAAGTAAAGAGGATATACTATTCTTATTATATAGAACAAGATATTACAAAACTTATAACGTTTCAGAAACGAATCGCAAATTTCATTACAGGAAGAGAAAAAAACTGTAGATCAGATCCTTAAACTTTGACGAACTCAAGCTTTTTCTTAATTTGGCTCTAGTAGCTTTCTTGGATTATGATGTTTCATCACATATGTAGATTTTGAAGTAAACTCTCAACTTTAAGTGTCGCTTTAATTTCTTGGCTTTGATTCTACACTTCATGGCTTTGATTTAAGCATCGAACTTCTTAATCCTCTCCGATAAGGCTTTGGTCATCATCTTCTTCTTCATCAAAGGGCCTCTCGCGAAATCATCATGTGAGAACTCCAATTCCCCAGGGGACCTTTTACGACAGTTTTGAAGCCATTAGAACGAAGTTTTGCGACAAACTCTGTTAAGTTTCTGCCCAATAATACTCCAGAAAATGATTTCAGAAGGATGTCTCTGCGAAGCCTTTTCATGTCCCAAACGATGAAACTGTTGTTGTTTGTTTTGCTCCACGAGATGATCTGATCCGATGAATGATCATCCACAATCTGATACAGCTGGACGTAGAAGGAAGAAGAAGATTCCGTTGAGAGTATGCGAACCATCTTCGTTGATGAGATTGGAAATCGAGAAGCAGAAATCCAAAAGTGAATAGAAGCAAACCCTAAAACCTCAGAGAGATAAAACAGAAATCGAGAGAGTAAAAAACAATAAGGGAAACTTTGTGAGTAGCTCTTTGGTGGAAGCTGGTAACTTTATATAGAGAGACTGATTTCAACGGTCATGTGATTAAATTATCCTTTTTTCTGTTTAAGCAATATTTGACGGTTAAGATTTGATAAGGAAGTTATCAACAGTCATAAAATACAAAGTCGGTTTTGACATCAATTTTGTTTTGCTGTGTTTCTGTCCCAAAAACAAAAGAAACGCACCGTCATCCCTGCCAAGCAAAGCGCGTGACTAAACGCTAAATGCAAAACTCAGCGTTTTAATCGGTTACGTTTTCATCAGTTCTCTACACATTGGAGGAGAATCTTGCTTCGACTTATGAACTCTTGTATCCTAAAGAAACTGGGATTATCTGTTTTCTTTAAAAAATTGGCTTCTTTTCCAACAAAAATAAAGGATGGAAGAATATTCGAATTGAGATTGAAACGCTCTGCTTCAACTGGAAGGATGTACTTAAAAGTAAAAAACATTGGTCTTTTTTCAAAGATTTGGAGAGAGTGAGAGAGAGGCCTAAAATCAAATGGCTATGTTTTGACAATAGACGAGGCCAATCTGTTTCTTGAACTTACTTAGGCAGTGCACTTTGACTTATATTTTTTTGATTATTCCATCAGTTTCCATGCTCGAAATATATTTTCACTTTGCTTTTCCTTATGATGCTACTATGAAGAAGAAAGTTTTAGTTTTTTTAGTGAAAGTGAAAAAGGTAATGATGTTTAAGTTTTAATAAAGTGTTGGAAAAAGGTGTTGCTTTAAAATCCTTTGAACATAGCAAGTGAGAGTGAAGTGTATATTTGGACTATCTGAGTTTGCAGGAGAAATAGTATAAAGAAGTTCTGGGAGTTTTCATGATATATATGAATAGTGTACTAAACCAAACAAGAGGTCTTTTTTGGTCAACTAAACAAAAAGAAAAAACAAAAGGTCTGACTTACAAAAAATCGGTTTATATATGCATACTAAAAATAAAAACATGCAGATGCATAAACAGCATCACTCTCTATGATCAGCTACCTCATCAGGTAAAATTACTAGGAATCTCAGATTTGTAGTTAGGAATGCAGGTGGAGCTAGAGAGATGGTAGAGTATATCCTTGAAGACAAAGTAGTCTGCTCGAAGACATTTCTGGAAAATCTTGAGAGAAGCTAGGGTTACCACCATAAGGGTCCTGAAAACCAAAACGGAAGTCACCTGAAACTATGTCTGGAAGACAAGGATCTAAAACGTTGCAGCTGTTGATAGTATCACCCATACACTTGTTCTGATCAAAACCATATAATAGCTCATGCTGCATCAACTGATTCAACCCGTAGTTATTTACAGATTCTTGTAGCTCTGGTGGGAACACTGAGTGATCTGGTGTGTTTGAAGAGATGTAGGGATGTTGAAATTTGTTACCCATACACATCATGTTCTGATCATAACCACCATAAGGCATCAACTGATAGTCTAACCCAGATTCTTGTACCGCTGAGTAATCTGAAACGCAAAAATGTTGAAAGTTGTTGTTTTTCTGATCATAAACACAAGACTCTTGTGGGTACTTGGTGACGTGGCTAGGGTTCAAAGATTGTTGATGATCATCCAAGTTTGCGTTTGCCTCAAGAAAGCGACGCCTTTCTTGCAAAGTAGAGTAACTTAGTTCCAAAGACTGGATGAGTTGGTTGATTTGGTCGGGAGAGTAATGATCCGAGATTGGATACTTTAATTCTTCTTCAACATGCTTCTTCGGCTTCTTCAAATTATTAGTCATTGTCTTCTTCTTCTTGTTGAGGAAGTCGTAAAGGTTGACGCTTTTCTTGAGTCTCTTGGCTTTGTCTAATTGGATGTAGCGGAGAGCAAGGGATCTCACTTTGTCTCTGTCCTCGGGCCATGTCTTGAGTTCGCCGTCTGGTCCGTAATGAATGATGCAGGCTTCGATATCACAGAGAGTTGTAAGTTCCTGAGCTTTCTTGAATATCGTCAAGAGTCTGCTTTCCAAACTCGTTGCAGAGAGTGAATAACAAGAAGAAGAAGAAGAAAGAGGTGGTCGCATGGTGGCTTTTCTTGTTGATTTTCGAAACACGCTCTCTGTTTTTCTCTCGCACACGAAAAAGGAAGAAGAAAACAAATGAAATTGTCGTGAGAAATTTGTGATTTGGTGTGTGATCGATCATATATTTATAGATTTTTCTTTGATGTGCGGTGAAAAAAAGGAAATATTTACTTTAGAAATCATGTAGCCGTTGAGGATTCTGAGAAAGAGTAAAGATTTACTTCAGATCTTTTTTACCCTTCACTCTCTCCTCATTATCGACAGGTCCGACACGGTAATGCCATGTGCTTTTAGATTTTGTTTGATTTGTTTTTGATAGATTTTTCGCAATCTCTCAGTTTAGTATACGGAAACCGTAATCCTTGTTTTAAACCAATTTCGGTGTAAAAGCTAGATACCTAATTTAACTTGATTTCCGGTTTAACCCGATTTATCTGATAGGATTCGCCGATTCAAAACAAGAGGTTGTTAATGGGAGGAGAGTCTTTTCTTGGATGGTAGTGTGGAGCTATTAATAATGTGATGTGCAAGTCTAGAGTTTTTGAAAATGGCCAAAAGGATCATCCTAGCTTTCTTTCTTGTGTAATTGTTCTCCTGAGTAGTGGACATGTAACCGTTCTTTGTGATTTGGAGGAGATTTGTTTCTTCTGATTGTAGATAATGACTTGCAAGAAGAGCTTTATAGTAACTTATCTTGATTTATCTCTGTATTAGTGAATGAGTCTGCACAAGAAATTGTGTTTGTACTAGTGAACATCTTGAGTTCTAGTGTTACTAAAAAGGATTTCACTGATTATGAAATAGAAACAGGGCATGCTTTACCACACCTCTAAGCCAAAGCTTCGGTTCCCTTATGTCTGCGGCCTCTCCTCTTGAATTATTATCATTTGATGCTTCCATAAGTTCCCGTGCTTGCATTGCTTTCCCTTTACGATGATTCCATGAGAAAGAGGAATAAAAGGGAGCTGGGGGTGAAGGTGTTATGATCGTCACTCTCTGTAAACTCGGATCTTCTCTCTTACTTATATTGAACGAATCAAACGAATACAAAGATGCTTAACAAACGACACTCATCTCGTCTCGCATACATTTTTCATCTAGCATAATCTAACTAAATTATAACCTGTCTTTGCTTCCTCTTCCGAGAGCATAACTGCCCCTCCTCCATTCTTGTAAGCTTTCCACTCCAGATTCGGGTATGGTTAGTAGAAAGTGTTGGAGAAATATATTTGTTGAGTTACAATCTTTAGTGAAGTATGTATTTGGACTATGACCTGGAGTATTCATGACAAGTATGCGTCCGAATACGTGAGAGTGAAGTGTGTATTCTCCTTTGGAAAATACAATAACAAAGATATGATGTACATACTTGCAAGCACTGTCTTTACAGGGATGTTACTCTTTTGAAAACAAAACACAGAACACCGAGAGAGAACTAAACGTAAAACAGAATCAATCATAAATTGGTTAATATATCAACCCGAACTTGCAATTATTACATCAAAACTAGATAGAAAAAATTGATTACAAAACATATACTGTTTCTAAAATAAGAACCACAAATTTCATTACAAGAAGAAGGGTCATGAATCTTTGATCAGATCCCATAAACTTTGCATGAGATTATTATCTATCTTTTGAGAGAACTCTAGCTAGCTAGGGCTTTTCTTGATTTAGCTCGTTAATTCTTGGCGATCTTCAGATCCGTAAGTTCTGGAAAAGATTCTCAACTTTGAGGCTAGCTTTCTTGGCTTTGATTCTACACTTCATGACTTTAATTTGAGCATCGAACCTCTCAATACTCTCCGACAAGGCTTTGGCCATCAACTTCTTCTTCATCAAAGGGTCTCTTGCAAAATCATCATGTGCAAACTCCAATTCGCCAGGTCCCTTGACAACACTTCGAAATCCATGAGAGCGTAGCTTTGCGAAAAACTCTGTTAAGTTTCTGCCCAATAATACTCCAGAGGATGATTTCAGAAGGATGTCTCTGCGAAGCCTTTTCATGTCCCAAACGATGAAACTGCTGTTGTCTGTTTTTCTCCAAGAGATGATCTGATCCGTTAAATGATCATCTACAATCTTATATAACTGGACGTAGAAGGACGAAGAAGATTCCGTTGAGAGTTTGTGACTCATGTTCCTTCCTTAATCGAAAACCCTAGATTTGATTTCTTAGTAATGGGAGAAGAAGCCGAAAATCAAAGCTCTCAGATTCAAACCTAAACCTCTTAGAGAAGTCAAACGAAAATCGAAAGAGTAGAAAATGAAATTATCACGAGTGATCGAATGAGATTAGGTCTGAGCTATATGTCATCTTCATATAGAGATTGATAAACGGTCAGGATAATGATTATTTTCCCTTTTTTCTCTTTCCGAATTTCCTTTTTTCTTTGTATGCATTTGAACGGTCAAGATGTGATCGAGAAAATATGAAATGCCAGTAATGGGCTCGCTGTCCAATAAAATGACACAGCGTCTTTACCACCAATCAGTGTGCCTCACGCCACGTGACAAAACTTTGGAACGTATTGTGTTATCTCAGAGTATAAAAGAGTTTTGCTTCGGAGATTCGGTACTTATAACGCAGCGTTTTGATCAGTTGTGTTAAAACAAATCCTCCAAAGACTTGATTGTCAAGTTTCAACTGATATTTCCACTTAGTGCCATCTCAACTTCCAGCTCAGCATCATTCTTTACTCGATTCCTCTGCTTCTTATGTCATGAATAACTTCTCCAAGCCTATCACTTTCTAGACATAAACTAATCTATAAATCCAATATTTCCTTGAGTGGGATAAATGTTACTTGGAAAGATGATGATGTGAAATCAAAAACAGAGAAGAAAAGGTAATATAAACGTGACTGATAATCTACAACAGAAGTACTAGGAAAAACTTTTTCAAAACAAACCGCATATTGAATTGATCAATATATATATAAACCGAATTCGCAAATTGATCAAAACATAGACACAAGAGACACTATTCTTATTAGATAAAACAAGAAGTTACAAAAAATTTACTGTATTTGGACTGTATATGACTCTGAGTTTGCAGAAAGTGAAGAGTGGAGTGTGTATTTTTCTTTTGGAAAAGAAAACACCAATGACATGTACTTACCTTACTTGAAAGCACTGGTCCTTCTTTACATCTCTGTCTACCAAAAGCCTGATCTTTCTCCATTATCATCTCGACGACTACAGAACATGAGTGATGTTTGTTATAAAACTTCTATGTTTGGTGTTTTGTTTCGGTTGTTATACAGAGTCAGGAGAATTAACGTAAAACATAAGCAAATGTTCTGAACTTATCTGTCGAGACAAAAAATGGTTATGCTGTGACAATCAACGAGATAAATACATATCACAATGTTTCAAAATAAAATGTTTCATTGAAGTTCTGTGAGTTTTCATTAAAGATATGACCATGATTACATACATATATGAATAGTGTACTAAACTAAATAACAGGTCTGACTTTAAAACTTTTGTTTTGAAGTTACTTACATACAAATGCCTATTCAAAATAAAAATCATTCAGATGCATAAACATCTTCACTCTCTACGATCAGCTACTTCATAAGAGAAATCTCAGAGTTGTTAGGAATGATGGAGCTAGAGAGATGGTAGAGTAGATCCCTGAAGTAGTCTGTTCTCATAAACACAGCTTGAAGACACGTCTGGAAAATCTTGAGAGAAGCTAGGGTAACCACCATAAGGGTCCTGAAAATCATAACAGAAGTGACCTGAAGCTATGTTTGAGAGACAAGGATCCAGAACGTTGCAGCTGTTGATAGTATCACCCATATACATGTTCTGATCAAAGCCATAAAGATCATGCTGCATCAACTGATTCAACCCGTAGTTATTCACCGATTCTTGTAGTTCTGCTGGGAGCACTGAGCAATCATGTGGGTTTGAGACGCAAGGATCTTGAGAATTGTTACCCATACACATCATGTTCTGATCATAACCACCATAAGGCATCAACTGATAATGTAACCCAGATTTGAAAGGCACCTCTGAGTAATCTGAAAGGCAAAGATGTTGAAAATTGTTGTTTTTCTGATCATAAACACAAGACTCCTGTGGGTAACTGGTGACGTGGCTAGGGTTCAAAGAACGATCCTCCAAGTTTGTTTTTGCTTCAAGGAAACGACTTCTTTCTTGCAAAGTAGACTAAGTTAGTTCCAAAAACTGAATCAGTTGGTTGATTTGGTCGAGAGAGTAATGATTGGTTACTTTAATTCCTCATCAACATTCTTCTTCAAACTGGTCACCGTCTTCTTCTTCTTGTTGTTGAGGAACCCATAAAGATCGACGCTTTTCTTGAGTCTCTTGGCTTTGTCTAATTGGATGTATCGGAGAGCGAGGGATCTCACTTTGTCTCTGTTCTCAGGCCATGTCTTGAGTTCGCTGTCTGGTCCGTAATGAATGACGCAGGCTTCGATATCACAGAGAGTCATAAGTTCCTGAGCTTTCTTGAATATCGTCAAGAGTCTGCTTTTCAATCTCGTTTCAGCAAGTGAATAACTAGAAGAAGAAGAAGAGCACTTTGAACAAGAGGAAGAAAGAGGTGGTCGCATGGTGGCTTTTCTTGTTGATTTCTCAAAACACACTCTGCACACGAAGAAGGAAGAAGAAAACGAATGAAATTTTTCGTGAGAAACTTTGTGATATATTTATAGATATTTCGTTGATGTGCGGTGAAAAAAGGAAAAATTTACTTCACAAATTTAGCCGTTGAGGATTGTGAAAAAAAAGCCGTTGAGGATTGTGAAAAAAGAAAGATTTACTTCAGATTCTTTACCTTTCACTCTTTCCATATTAATGAACACGATAATGCCATGTGCTTTAGATTTTGTTTGATTTGTTTTTGATAGATTTTCCAGAAGGGAAACCAGAATCATTGTTTTAGACCGATTTTTAGTTTAGAGATTGGATACCTAATTTAAGTTGAATTTCCAGTTTAATCAGATTTATCCGAAAAAATTGCGCGTTTTCACTCTCAAGATAAATCGGGTTCGCCGGTTAAAAACTAGAGATTGTTAACAGGAGATGACTAACCTAAATTGTTACCGTATTTTCTTGGATGGTAGTATGGAGCTATTAATAATGTGATGCGCAAGTCTAAAGATTTTGAAAATGGCCACAAGAATCACCACTTTAGCCTAATCACGGTTGATATAAATCGAACCACGTGAGTTAAGGTGAAAAGCTTCTTTTAAATCAAGATTAGAGAAGATTGCGAGTGTTGCTCACATACCATAGAAGAATGTTGTCGCACTTACATGTAGCAACTGTTTTAGTGAATGTGAAAAGTCCATGAGGTAGAAGAATAACGAGACAGACAGGGGTATGGTTTTAGTATTGGAGAAAGATATGATACAAATCCTTCTGGCATAGCAAGTGATGAAGGTGAAGTAAAATGTGATTGGCAACTGTAACTAAGAGAGTATCAGAAATCTGATTACCGTGTGGGTAAAGAATTTGTTGAGAAGCTAAAAAGAACTTCAAGACGGATGTTTGAAGTGATGATACAAGAAGCTATTATTGCGAGAAACGCATTCTCTTTCTCTTCGATGATATATATCCAACATGAGGCGTTCAACGTGCACAAAGTAAAAACATGATGTTAGTTTGACTAATATTTGTAAACAGCATTTGCAAGTAGACGGAAACATAGAAGTAAAGAGAATGTACTATTCTTATTATATTGAACACGAAGTTACAATTTACAAACACATATACTGTTTCTGAAAAGAAGAATACAAATTGGGTTTTTCACAAAAAAAAAAAAGAAAAAATTACAAATTGAGTTATAAGAGCATCTCCAATGGAACTACCATTGTAATCATTAGCATTATTGAATGCATTTTTTTTTTTGAATAGTTAAAAACTCTAATCAAAAATGTTTGTCCAATGGTGTATTCCATTTTGGAGTTCTTAGGAAAAAAAAAATTCAAAGGTTCTGCAATAATGTTATTGCTCTCTACTTGCTGCTTTGGTCTAGAAATCTCACAACCAAAGTCTCCATGTAGAAAGCATTCGATCTAACTAAAAACATGTTGTTCAGATAATAATTCATAAACCACCAACAAACACTAATTAAACTCAGCTTCTTTCTCCAAGTAACGAACTCTTGTTACCACCAAACTCACCTTCTTTCTCCAACAACCTCTCTTGATACTCATCCCTGAGACTCCGAATAAAAGTAGTCACCACTGTAGTCTCGATTCCTTTCTGAAATTCATGCTCATCCTGCCACAAGGAGGGGAGCTCCGTGTCATTCTTCCGCTTCAACACAGTCTCTAGAATGCTCTTCAAGGAATCAAGCATCTTATCTACAGTTTTGGACCCGATCTCATGCTGACATGACGTGTCATCCACAGTGGCGCCTGCTTTATTAACGTGAACATACTTTCTCAAACTGGTCAACTCTTCAACGAGCATCACCAACTGTTTTCCCGCTACATTTTTAAGACTGTTCAAAGAACTATATGTAGGGTCCAAACACGCCTTATCATTGGAAGGTTCCTTCTCCTTAGAACCCACATGGTACAGAGACAAAGTCTCCCAACTCTGGACAACTCAAGATCCTTCTAAGCAATCTTCTCAACAGCTTCAGTCTCTCATTGACATCATCCCAATAAGAATCTAAATCCTCAAGAAAATGAACATTCAGATTCTCATTCTCTTTCAGAACACCATTAACTTCGACTGATAATCCTTCCCCATGAGGCTCAACCATCACATACTCTCACTCCTATATTAAGTGATATAAAGTTACTCCAAGAAACTCTTTTTCCCCAAATAGCCCTAAGAGAAGGAAGCAACAGTTTCCTTTAACAAAAAAAAAAAATCAAATCAAATCAAATCAAGCTCCCTAATTTCTTAATCAACACATCAAATTCCACAAGAAACATAAGGAATCCACATCAAAGAAGTACTAATTACATAAAACAAAGGACACTAATTCCAAATAACGTAACTTTACTCCCTCCTGGATAAAGCTTAATTTTCACAAAATAAAAAATATAAACAACTTACCTAGTTGAGAGAGTTGGGTCCAAGAAACTGCTACAGCTTTGATTTCACAGTTTTAGGGTTTCCGAAAAAAGCGTATAGCCAAAGTGTGAAAGAGGGCTACAAGCTGAACGGAGCGGGAGAGTCGAGAAGATCTCATGCTCAGATTCGCCGCTCTGAAGAGTACTCTTCCCTCCTCCTCCTCTGTTCCGCTGTCAGCTCTTCCTCCGGGTGAAATTGGAGAAGATGATGAAGTTGAAAAGTTGGTACACAACCGCGCCAACAAGGACTTGGTCCTTAAAATCACTAATTACGGACTGCTCCCTAACTTAGGGGGAATTTATATTTATTATTATATTCGTATTAACTTATGCTTTTGTGCTAAGGATTCTTAATCACTGCGTTGCGGATGCTCGACTTCTTTGATCAGAACCTTAAAACTTTACAAGAGATTTTCTACGATTGACGAGCTCTAGGCTTACCAAGTAGGGTTGGACAAATAAACCAAACCTGAAAACTCAAACCGCACCCGATCCGATAAAAATGAATCCAAACCAATCTCAATCCGACTTAAATACTAAATGGATTTTGTTTTATGGTATTTCGGGTTATGGGTATTATCCGAACCGAACCCAAATTTAAAGGAATATCCGATAGAACCCGAAACATTCCAAATTTTTAATAAGAACGTGTACCGAATATGATCTTAATTCTTAATATATATCTCCAAAATATTTTAAGATATTATCAAACATCTAAAATAATTATCTATTACATGAAAGTTGATGGTTGAAAGTGGCAGTTGAAACTTGAAATTTTTAGTTTAAGTTTTGTTTTTATTAAATAATGTTTCTCATTTTTTAAGAACTTGGTTTTTGTTTTATGCTTTCATTTATTTGATTCTCTTTCTATTAATAACTATGTTTACTTTTCATTTGATTTTGTTTTGATGTTCCTTTTTTATTTTTAAATAAATTTTAGTTATGTTTCGATTACAAAATAGTTACATATCAGGTATTTTAAATCCGAAGAACCGATTTTACTTAGGTTTTGGTTACAAAATAAGTACAAATCAGGTATTTTTAAACCAAAGTACCGATTGGGATCCAAATCAGAAAGTATAACGGATTAAAAATTTACTAACCCCGACCTGAACCTGATAGAACCCGAACCGTTCCCGAACTAAACTTTCAAATAATCCGAATGAGGTTAATTTTGATAAATCCGAAAAACTGAGATCCGATTGGACAATACCGAAACCCAATTGGAACTCCGAATGTCTAGGTCTATTACCAAGTGATCAACGGTCAATATTAAAACTACAAAGTTCGTTGGAATAAATTAGCTTTTACGAGCTTACTGAAATGATTGTTAGAGCATCTCCAATGGTGTTACCCGTTGAAGTCTTTAAAAAAACTATTTTTTTAATTTTTTTTTTTAATTTTTTTTTATTTTTTCAAATTTAAAAAAGAAAAAATATCAACCAATTGGGAGCTGTCACATGTTGTGGGGATCCGCAAGTAGTGCAAGAATTCGCTAAGAAACATTCCTTATTTAAAAAATTTAAATATCGAATCTTTAATTTTTTAATTTTTTAATTATTCTTTTCCTCCCTAAGGATTAAACTCCCTCTTAAGGACTCGCGTTGGAAGTGCGGACTAAACCTGTTGAAGGTGCTCTTATAGGTCTTTGGGCACTAAGACCATATGCATCGGGGGTCCGTATGGGATCCTTAGCCCAAAATCCTTAGCCCAAAAGGAATAAAATATTGATTAATGGGATGCTTTTGTGACGGATCAATCCGTAAAGAAGGGGTAGAAGGACCAGGTCCTTATGCACGTGTCACGTTTTCGTTGGGTCTTGCGTCTTTTGTTTTCGGTGGAGTCCTTAAAAAAAATTCATTTTTCGTCGAACACGAGAAAAAAAAGCAGAGGTGGAGACGAGAAGGCGATTTTTGTCTCCGTCGTCGATCCTCTTTTTCCTTGATCCTGAAAGGTTAGTAGGCTTCATCTGTGATAGATTTTAGGGTAGATTTACCTTCCTTGTTCTTCGCCTTTCTTGTAGAATCGATTTGGGGATTTTATCGATTTTTAGGGTTTCAAAAAGTTTATTGATTTCAATTCGTTTTCAAATTGTTTTCAGCTGGTGATTCTTTGGTTCGTAGTTAGGGTTTCATCGGTTTAGTTTCCTCGAAAACTCATTGATTTGTATTTAGGGTTTTCAATTGGGGATTTTTTGTTTGTAGTTAGGGTTTCAATTCCTTTTCAATCCGTTTTCAATTGGGGATCATTTGGTTTGTATTTACGGTTTTAATCGGTAAATTGTAGTAAATTTTGTGTGAGTTCCCGTAATTTGTACTTATTAAACTCATGATGTCAATGTGTTTTAGTGTTTATGTCAATGTGTTGTTTTAGTGTTTAGTTTTTGTGTTCATAATCTTGAGTTGGTTCTTGCTTGTTTTAATGATTTGTTTTCTTGTTCGCTGACAAATTTTTTTGTTTTTTTGCAGGCTTGCCTAATATGGGACAATACTATAGCTACACTCAGCCTTCTTCATCGGAGGAGTTTGACATGACCGCACTACTTCAAGCAGAAGCTGATCTCTACGGCTATGAAGGTCATAGTAGCTACAGAGTTGCAGAGGCGGATCAGTTTCCACGTGAACCCGAGGCTGATGAAGGAATCCCGAGGACATGCTACTGCGGCAGTGACCCTCTTATAAAAATGTCGTACACGCATAAACATCCAGGGAGGAGGTTCTTCTCCTGCGAGAACGTTGACGATGGAAACTGCCACATCTGGAAATGGTGGGATGTGGCAGTTCAAGAAGAGCTAGTTGAGATGAAGACACAGTTTAGGATGCTCAAGGATCAATTCTTTGAGATTGACCAGAAGGTGGCTAAGCTAGAGAAGATCGTGGGTTCGTTAAGTAAGAAGAATTCAGTTGTCAAAAGAACATGGTTTGCAAAGGGAGTTTCTCTACTGCTGTTTGTTGTACTGGTCATCGTGACGTGCTGGTAAAATTGCATTCCTTTTTTATTAGATAATATTGTTTGAGTAAAAATACCTTTCTTAAGTTTTTAATCTTTTATATGTCTTTGAAGGAAAAACATAAGGGGATTTAAAGAGCAGTGTCTGAACCGGAGATGGGCTTCGTAGGTACAATAGTTTCTATCTTTTTTAGTTTCAGTTTCAAATATATTTAGACTAAATAATTTGAATGACTTAAAACATTTAGCATCAACAATTTTAGCTGATAAAAACATTTAGCTTCAATAACGAATATAAACATTTTGCTTATAAATAACGAATAAAAACGTGGTGCTTTATTGGTTGAGCTTTAACTATACTCTCATACTTATTGCTAGTATTGCTTCCTAACCTCTTAGATTTGATAGAATTGTACTTGCTAAGTAACAGATAAATTAAATATACTGGTCATACTTATTGCTCTAACTTGAGTGTTGGTAAATGCGTCTTTGCTTTCTATCTGCCTAATAACTACTCCGAACCTAAAAATCTTAATTTCTAACGCCTACTTAAGTGCATGTGTTGCTAATAAAGCATCACAGACCATCATCTCACTACAAGAAAACTCGTCCATTACTAGGACGGGTTTTCCTCGTTAGTTCCTAGTAAATGGCCTTTTATTAGGAACTTACGAGGAAACGCGTTTCCTCGAAACACGTTCATCGTAATGCCATTTTCCTCGTATGGTCGTAGCGAATTTACGAGGAAAGTTTTCCTCGTAAAGGCGTGGTAATATTTTCCTCGTAAAGTCCTCGGAAGGTTTCCTCGTAAGCTCGTAGTAAACATTTCCTCGTAAGGTCGTAGTGAAACATTACGAGGAAATAACTAGAACTATTTACGATGATATTACTTGGAATATTTTACGAGGATTTTGCTTGGAAATGTTTTTTTCCTATTAAAAAATAATTACAAATAATTAATTTATTTTTTAAAAATAAAAAAAAAATCAAATTATAAATAAAAATAAAAAAAAACAAAATATTTTATAAATAACTAGATAATATACAATAAGTTTTTAAATTCATAATATACAAATAAAAATAAAAGAAACTACGGATGCTGGTCGTGAAATTGCTGACTGAACAAAACGTCGTCCTGGCTCGGCAAATCCTCTCCATAGTTGGTTGCCGGCTGTGAC